AGTGCATCCACCTCACAGACAGACACTGCCCCTTCCTGCAAGTGGTCCCAGCTTTTATCCCTAAGTGGGACACATGACCTTTGTTTACTTAATGCAGGACACCTGGGGCTCCTTTACCTAATGGCTCTCCCTGCCAGGCCGGGCACACCCTGGAGGGAAACTGAAAGGGAAACTCACCCCCCCTTTGTGAAGGGCTGTGGGAATCACCCAGATGTCAACCTTAATTTGGGGCTTAGGGTTGAAACCCCAGCATTTCACTCAGCCCCTTGATTTATGGGTGGACCACAGCCCTCAATCTCACACACAAAGTGTGACATCTTTATCTTGTATTTGGCTACAGACACTGCCAAAGTCATCTGAGCTGTTTCTTCATATTCTTCACCGTTGTGGTCTTTTTCATTGGAAGATCAGTGTGACTGTGCATCTGAAGCTGATGTCATCTGCTCAGCACAGTTCAGCATCAACTTGTATTCCAGTCCGTATGCTGCCCATTCAGGTCGAATACATTTGTCACAGGAGTGATTTCATGTTCCCGGCAGTGCCACACAAGATCTAGAAGACAAAACTTTAGACCATCGTTATTCCTGCAAATAACATTTATTTGTGGGGACATGTTCCCACTTTTTCTGTCCAGGCTTCATGATTAGGATGGTGTTATCTTTTCCTACAGCTATTACTTCAGCTGGCTCAGGGGGGCCACTCAGCCCTTGGACCCATACTTTTGCCCCATTACCTAAGTTGGTGGATCCAAATCCTTTGTCTCCACAAACAGTAGTGACATGGGGTGGGTGCCCCTTCCTCACTGTTGTTTTCAAAATTGGTAATATTAATAGCTGTGATACTCTATCATTGGGTTGAATAACTAAATCTTGTTCACCATTATTCAGCAGGATTACTTTGATCTCTCCCTGGTTGTCTGCATCAATCACTCCTCCCATTACATGAATGTCTTTTAGGGCTAGGTTTGAGCAAGCAGTTATTAATCCAAAGTGTCTTGGGGGAATTTGGATTCCTAACCCGTTGTTAATAACCCTTGTCTGGCCTCGATTTATCTTTACCAGTTCTGATGCATAAAGATCTAGCCCAGCAGCCTCTGGAGTGGCCTGGTAGGGGGCCATAGCACCTGGAACCATTTCCCTGTAAGTTAAAGTTCCACTTACCATTAGAGGCGTTATTTGCAGATTGGGCATAGTCATATGCATCAAGGGCGTCTCCATCTCCCCAGTGGGTCTATTGTTGAGGGTGTGGAGCGCATCCGTGAGGTTAGATCTCCATCAGGATAGGTTTCCATTTCCCAGCTTTAACTGCTCCTTTAAAAGCCCATTCATTCAATTAATCCTGCAGCCTGTGGATAGTATGGGATATTGAAGATCCATTGAATGTTATGCTGCTCTGCATACTGCTGTACAAATTTATTTTTGAAGTGGGACCCATTATCAGTTTGTATTTGTAAGGGGATGTCATAGTATAGGTTCATTATATCTATGGTATAGGTAGTACTATGGTGCATGGCTTTTCTGCAGGGATAAGCAATCAGGTATCCTGAATATACGTCAACTGCAGCGCAGATGTATTTACACACTCAGTCCTGGGGTAAAGGGCCAATATAGTCCATCTGCCAGATTTGTCCTGGCAATTTCCCTCTTCCCAACTGTCCTTTTACAATATTTGGTACCAGGTGCTTATGAGTATGCTGGCACGCAGGACACTGGGCAATTATTGTTTTGATCATATCCAGTGACTTAACTATCCCACGCTCTTGGGCCCACTTGTAAGTGGCCTTTTCCCCAAGATGCCCCCATTTCTGGTGTGCCCATTTTGCCAAGCCTTCACAGTCTCCCTCCTGAGGAAACTCCAGTCCGGCTTGGGAAATCTTTGCCCAGTTATCAGTGACAGAATTGTAAAGACACTCAAGTGAATTTATACTACTATGAACATCTACATAGATTACTGTCACCTTGGTTCTTTGAACCAGATCCCAAATATCTTTCCAGATTGCCTTTCCCCAGACCGTTTTAGAATAACTTTTCCAATCTTTGGCTACCCATATTGGCAGCCAAGTAGCCAATCCATTTGCCACTGACCAAGAATCAGTGTATAGGTGACAATTCCCCTAAATCCTCTTGTTTTAAAGCCATATACGCTGCATATAACTCAGCATATTGGCTACTTTCCCCTTCTCCTGTGGTCTCCAGAAATTTCCCTGAATGAGGATGATAAGCTACTGCCTTCCAAAACCTCTTCTCTCCTATATATTTAGCTGACCCATCTGTAAACCACGCATGTTCCCTTTCAAGAGGTAGCAGCTGAACCAGGGTCTTCCCCCACTGCACAGGGGATTCCTGTTCACCTATAGGATCAGGCTTTACCTCTTGATCCTGCATGGGGGCAGCCACTACTTGCTCATGGAGGGCAGCAACACCACCAGGTCCTACCTTTGCTCTTTTCCGGATGTACCATTTCCATTTGATAATGCTCAATTCTTGCGCATGCCCTATTTGGTGAGTCTTTGGGGAGCTTTTAACCCACTGCATAATAGGGATTTTGGGGTGCAGGGCCACCTCGTGGCCTATCGTGAGCTGCTTGGTTTCTATCAAGGCCCAATAACAGGCTAATAGTTGTTTCTCAAAGGGCATGTAATTATGTCCTGCCTCTGGTAACTTTCTTCCCCAAAATCCTAAGGGGACTCTTCTCTTCCCTTGTTTCTGCCAGAGGCTCCAATTAGCATATGACCCATTTACAGATACATTTAATTCTATTTTGCCATCCTGCATCGGCCATAAGCCCAAAGCCCTTTGAATAGCCTCTTTTGCCAATTCAAAGGCAGCCTGCTGCTCATTTCCCAATTCAAGTTCATGCTTTTTGTGAGTTACCTTGTATAATGGGGCCAGAATCTGTCCTAAATGTGGAATATGTTGTCTCCAGAAAACAAACAGTCTGATAAATCTCTGTGCCTCCTTATTCCATGGTATAGCAAAGTCAAGAATCTTTTGACAAGCTTTAGGTAGTACTTTGATGACCACAGTTCCAATGTATTCCTAGGAATTTAGCTGAGATGGCCCTTGGATCTTAGTAGGATTAATCTCCTAACCTTTCTGCCTCATATGCCTTAGTAACACTTCAAGCATTTGTTCTAATTCACCCTCATTGGTCCCCTGAATCAGGATGTCATCTATATAGTGGATCATTTGCATATGAGAAGGGAGCTTTACCTCAGCCAGGTGCTCAGCCACTATTCTATGGAAAATAGTTGGACTATACACCCATCCTTGAGACAACCTGGTAAAGGTATACTGCCGTCCTTGCCATGTAAATGCAAATTGATCCCAATGCTCTTCTGCAATCGGAATCGTAAAATATGCATTGGCCAGGTCAATGACAGCATACCACGTGCCAGGATGCCTCTGAACTCTTTCTATTAAAGTGCTCTTGTTCAGTTCTCTATAATCCACAGTCATTCTCCAGGATCCATCAGCCTTTTTGACTGGCCAGATTGGACTATTCCACATTGTGCTAGTCAGTTTTAAAACCCCTGCAGCCAGTAAATCTTTGATTGTTTGGCAAATTTCTTCATGACCACCTGGAATCCTGTATTGTTTCATGGTTCCTACCTTTGTTGCAGTTGGGATCTTCCCTACTAAAACTGCTCAGTTAGTGATATAACTCTTTACCCTAAATTGATAACGACCATCAACATGATTCGAAATAAGTCCCTTCAGAATATCTATTCCAATTAAATACTCTGGGATCAGAACAATCATGACTGTATACTGTCATTTTGGAAGATTTCCAATTTTCATATAAATTTGAGTTTGTAGTGCTTCAATTTGTTTCCCACCCAGTCCTGTTATAATCACAGACTGACCTTTAAATTTCTTCGGATTTCCATAAATCAAGGAGGCCTCCGCTCCGGTATCTCCTAGTGCCTTTACTATTTGAGAGGACTGGTTTTTCCAGAATTTTGTAGCTCCACATGGGGTCATCAGTCCTCCCACGCCCAATGTACCGGAGCTTGGCCAATATTTCAATATTGATTACAGTACCTACCGTCTCTTGAGGGGTACAGGTCAGAATACTGCTGCCATTCATGGTTCTTCCCCAGAACAACCAAACTGCTTCTGGAGGGCCCACCATAAGCAAAGGTGGAATCCCATTGAGGATCCAGAGGGAGTGCTGTAGACTGAATAGTTTGACCAGTGTGCTTGATAATTCTGCACTTTTCTACAGGGTTTCTGTAACCCTCACTGTTTGTACAACCTCCATAATCCACTGGTGTCAAGACCATCAATTTTAGCAAGAGTTACACCATCTTTCAATAAAGCTTTAAACAATTGTCCTCAGAACACCCGACGTCTGGTATTTTTACTGCATCGGGTGTCTTGGTTCTGTGTATACTCCCAGGCACCCCGTTGACATCGGAATTCTCTATAGCCCTGACGCTCCTGGGGAGTCCATTCTCCAAGGTCACCTAGCTGATGCATTTTCTCAAGTACATCTCTAATGGGATTTCCTGTTTCACTCAATAAGAGAGTTACAAGAACATTCTTATAAGCTGGTGGAGCAGTCCTAATGATTGCATTTCTCAGGCACAGACAATCGAAGTTGCATCAACACATCAACATGGCCTACATGAATGGCCAGGTTCATTCCTTCTTCCTTCAATCGCTGTATACCATCCTGCAGAGTATACCATGGCGGTCAGAACCTGGCCAGGAATTCTCTAGGGGGTATTTTGCTTTGCACCCCACAGCAGCTAAAGCCAAAAGATTAGTACCGTCATCATTAGTCCGAAAGGCTTCCTGCACCAGAGGGTCTGAACTTAGTTACTAACTTCCTGCAGTCAAAATTATCCAGGCTAACCCCTGATGCTCCCTGATCATATAAACAAACCATCCAAGCAAGAAGGGGCTCTCCTGGTCTCTGACTGAACCATGCAAGAATATCACTGATTTCTTGCTGTGTGAAATCTTCCATTGTAGGTCTATTTACTGGTGGCTCACCCTCAGAAAATTCCACCTTCTTCTTGATGACTGGTCTCGTATCTACAGAGTCATCTGAGGCACCAGCCCCATCAGACTCTGCCAGGTGCCAGATATCATCAAAGTCATCAGGGTTATGGTATACATCCACCTGTATAACCTCTGAATGGACCTTCTTATGACTACATTGTCCCCATCTCTTCCCACATTTACACTGGGCAACTTGTACTGTATCCTTCTCAGGTACAGTTTGAGAAGTATCTAGTTTATCAGTAAGGAGCTTGTTTACAGATTCTAATGTCATAATCTGAGCTCACATACAGGAACATTCAGCCAGTAAGTGTTCTTTTTGCTGGTGGTGTTTCTTATATACTGTTAACAGGATATCCACCCATAACCCATCTCCCAAAGGTTACAGCATCCTGTGCCTTACTGGAGAATATTTGAATATTTTCTAATACATCCTGTGGTTCAGCCTCCACCAACTGCTTCTCCCACTGTTCACATGGTCCCCTAAATTTAATCCATTCAAGGGCCAGCAAACTATACACAGGATCTTCCCAACCAGGAACTTCAGACAGGGCCATCCTTGTCACCAATTTTGTTTTGCCAATTATTAGGCCTAGCATAAAGGACACAGCCAGCATAAAGATGAACCAATAACCAAATTGTATTTGATACAAAAGGGTCAGGTACATAGGTGAGCACTGGGGGTACAAACAAGTCAGATTATATATAAATCAACATCAATCCAACTGACCCCAACAACAATACTGCACGACCAACAATGGGTAGAATGAACGGTGAAATGCAGTCTCCCATAGAAGGGACGGGAGACAACAAACCAAACACATAAGACCAAGGAAGCCATACACTGAATCTCTACACAGCCCACATTTACAAAAGCCAGACCTGACTGGAGCCCAGTCCCAGGGAGGCAGGAGGTCCTTCCCCAACAGGAAAATCTGCAAAGCACATCCACCTCACAGACAGACACTACCTCTTCCTGCAAGTGGTCCCAGCTTTTATCCCTAAGTGTGACACCGGACTTTTGCTTACTTAATGTGGGACACCTGGGGCTCCTTTACCTAATGGCTCTCCCTGCCAGGCTGGCTGCACCCTGGAGGGAAACTGAAAGGGAAACTCACCACCTCTTTGTGAAGGGCTGTGGGAATCACCCAGATGTCAACCTTAATTTGGGGCTTAGGGTTGAAACCCCAGCATTTCACTGTGACAGGACAAGTAAAATTTGGTTATAAGCAGGAGTTGCTAGCACCAGTTTATTAACAGGTTTAATCCGTAAGTGCTCAGGCAAACTGAGAAGTGAACGTCTTTGTTGCTATCTCTTAACGTGGAAGCTTAAAACCTACATCCTTCTCTATTTGCAGTCAGTCCTAGATTTGATCTTGTTTCAAGGAGAATGAACTACACAGGGCACCAGTAATATATCAATTTCCAAAAGTACATCTAGACCGGCTACACTTAAGGATTTGTCCTTTCAAGAGATTCTTATAAGAAGGCACAGTTTGTCCAACTATTTCTTGGCAATGCTACATATGCCAGATCAAAGTGCCATATTACTTGCAATAAATCCTTATACCAGACTGGCAGGACTTTACCACATTTGTATTTTCATGCATATATTGAGAATTGTTATATGTGAGATTTAACTGACAGCTTGGGGGGCTTAGGTATTTTAACACAGAGAGCATGTGTAATCATGCAGTGGGCGTTTTCATAAATTAATAAAAGCTTTGGGTAAACCTTAGATGAGAGAAATAAAACCTCTGTCCACAAAGTAAGAGACTGAATTAGTCTGCAAATCACTTCTGATATTAAATATAACAGATGGCATATTAACTTTGGCTAAATACTTTGTCAACTTGGGCAATTTCTGCTATACCTAAACGACAGGTCTAACCACAACACTTATTTTATTACTTTTATTTCATTTGTCTGAAAAAGCAAGAATGCCCCCTTTTGACAATTCTATATATTTCCCCTATGAGGCCAGGAGAGGGAGTAGTAGGTTGTATTTTTCCTCAGAAAAATTCAACACTCTGGATGGCAAGTATTATATTCAGTTCCCCAGCAGACAAAGATCACACACTCTGTTGATTATTCTTTTTAAAGGACCATGGAGATATGGAAATTTATTTTTTTTCTTGCCAAAAAAAAAAAAGCACTTAAAAAGCATCTGCCACAAGAAAGTTTCAGACAAGAACTACACACTGTAAAAAAAAATAATCTTACACATTGATGGATGGGGAGATGTGCACTTGTCTACTCAGGTTAATCTCTACAAGCCCTGTGCTCACTTACCCTGCTGAGGATACATCAATCCAGATCACCTGCAGTCATGTAACTGCACAGATACTGGCCAAAACATGATATTAAGGTCAAATAAAAATAGACCCTGCTACCCTTCTGCCTGTAGTTATACAAATTTTAATAAAAATGCCAAAATTTATATTTTTCTAGATTTCCACCTGAATTTTGAGGTTTTCATACTGCTTAAAGCAAAGGCAGTTTGCATGCACTTTTGCTTCAGATTCATTTGCAGCAAAACCTGAAACATGCCTCGAAATTTTTCAAGTTTGAAGAATTCATCACCTGATCATCTTAAGCAATTTAAATTCTTGTGTTAGAAAGCTAGTCTTTGTGAGCTCTCTAGACAGATACTGCTGAATGACACAGTCCTCCAGAAGGTGACTCAAAAGAGGAAGAAAAAACCCCAAAAGACTAAAAACTTGCTTGTGTATTTTCCAGCTCTTCTGGAGGGTGATTATCTCAGTCTGAAAAAAAAAAAAAAAAAAAGGGGAAAGAAGTTCACAAATTAAATCACTGAATGTGTCAAGTAAGGTATTTCAGAGAGAGAGATAACTAACATGGTAGAAGGCAACAGTGAGATACCAGTTCATGGTTATTCTTGCCCCCATGCTGGACAGCAGAACTAGCAGTCTCTCACACTCAAACTGAGAATTAGCTGCCTTAAGGGTGCCGGTTTTTGAATCCTAGTCCACACTCTTGGATTCTGTGTCTCTAGCTCAACAGAGGCAAGTCCCTGCACTCATGTGATCCTGGAAAATGGAGATGAGCCTATAATCTACTTGATACTTATGAAGTCACCCTGCATAATAACCAAGTATTACCTGAAATTGTAGCCTCCTTCTCTAAGAGGCAAAGGTGCTTAGGCATATAATGGCATTGCTATTTCATTAATAATATACAACAGTTTTGCGACAATTACAAAATATCTTATTCAGCTGAAAAGGCACAAATGTTAAACAAGCATCATGGAATGACAAATGAAATTATAGTTTGGGGATGAACTTCAGAGAAAGTGTTCCCTGACCAAATAAGGAAGTTTAAAAAAGTGAAACCACACAGGCACAGAGTTCACTTATAGCTGCCAAAGTCAGAACAACATCAAATCCTTCTGTATACTCCTGAAAAAGAGAAGTCTTTCTCTCATGAAAGAAAAAATCTCTCCAGCTGAGAGCATGAAAAACACTTTGGCTGATTTCAGGTTTGGGGCCATCAGATAACTTCCCCCTAACAGCTCTGAGTTACCTGGTTTAAAGTGCTTATTAAGGTCACTATGGCTTGTTGCAATCCAGCTACTGTATTTTCAGAGAGCTATGTGGGTGTTTAGCCACATATCTCCTATCAACACTACACTGTCTTAAATTTAAGAATCATTGCGTGTCTAACTACCCATGCAGCTGCAGAAGAAGTTCTGAGACACTTCATTCACATTACATCCTCCCTTCTTCGAAGTCGTAACGGAGGGAGGAATGATCGCTTGCAAACTAAGTTTTCATGCATTGTGTTAGTGGCATTCACTAGTGGCAGGGGCCTCACCATATCAAAAATTACAGAGTGCTGGAGAGGTACTTGAGGTGGCTCCAATTAAACTACACAAGTTTGAATACATATGCAGATTTTCACCAGCTGAGAATCTAGCTCATTTTTCAGTGATGAGACCTACAAAAATAGCAACAGGAAGAATAGTAACCAAGTGTTTTGTGAAGCATGGCATTTAATATGCTATTTGTGAATCATAACGCTGAACACCTCGTTGTGTTTTATCACTAATATTTACTTTAGTATGATGTGACTTCACTCACATTGATAATTTTAAACTGTGTTTTTTGTCCTGACTTCCTTCACAAACATTCTGAAGCACATTACATGTTGCCTACGGGAGGGAGCATTCCACAATAAACAAAGATGCCCTTACATCAATAACCAAAAGCACCTTCAAAGAAATCTTTCCCATCATTTCATGTTTTGTTTTTCCTTCTCATTTGACAACAGCTAAAGGACAAGCAATGAGTTTGAGTGGAATTTGAAGAACTAGTTCAGGTTCATCATCTTCCATGTATTATCTAGATTTTTAGCTGACGACACAGCAGTCAGTCTTGTTTCCACTCCTGTTTAACATTAATGAATTTTGTTACTTTTTTCGTAAAGGCAAAACAAGTAGGCTTAGTTTTGTTTCCCATTTCCTAAAAGAGGGTTGCAATTAGAGATAACAACATTACAAAAGATTAAAAAACTAATTTACATGGCTTCAGCCTTTTTGTCCCACCTCCAATCACATTCACTGCTACACTCCTCTGACCACTGTTTTCATTATTAAGCAGTTTAGTGAGGATATTACTCTGATTTAGAGAATGTTTTACTGGAAGCAAGTTCCAAAGAGCCTCTTTCCTACTATGTTCAATGTGTTTAGCATTCACTATCAGCTCTGGGATTTACTGAGAACTCAGGAAGGTCTGTTCTCATTCTCCATCAAAGATTAGAAAATTTACATGTTTCTATAGTTACAATGAACAGGTTTCTAGAAATCCCTTTATCAAGAATGAACTCTGCTTCACTGAAATTAGATTCTCCTTATCATTTTTTTTAAAATTCTCAAGATCATCTAGCCATCATTAAAGGGATTCCACAAGTGACTACGCAACCAGCATTTTCTGTGCTCTATCCTCTCGCAGGAAACTGAAGGCTTTTATCTGTTGCCAGCCAAGAAATATTCACTAGACTGAAAATCTACTGTATACTTTCCAGAAAGCTGCAGGGCTGGAGGTAAAGGCTGAACAGCACTGAGGTTTCTTTCCTAATCTTTTTGAAGTTCTGCACTTCACATCGGCAGGCACTCTTGAATGCTATTAATTACAATACAGTATGAAACTAGCAATATGAAAACCTATTTTTTCTGAGTCTGTGTAGTTGAAGGTAATTAATACTTTTATCTTCCTATGTGCTTCATTGATGGGGTACATGAAAGGAAGAAGTGGA